TTATATCATTTTAAAAAAGGAAACTGTTCCTTGTAACTTTACACCCACCCCACACCCCAATTCAAAACACATCATTTAATTGTCTTGGTCATGGACATTTCCAAGGTGAGATTTTATATTTCGTTCCCATAGCTTCTGGTTATCAGAAAACCCATGCTTTCCTTTATTGAAAGAGTTTGGTCCAGCTGATGTTGGTGTATCCCTGCATTAAAAGAAAGGAAATTTATTTAAAATGTTATAGATATGTTTTGGACTATGTTTTAATCTTACAAATACACATTTGTTTACCTATTGTAAGCACAAGGTGAACAGCAAGCGCCTCTAGAGATTTTTTTTAAATACCCTTTTCAGACATAGTTCTAAGACTTCAGACTCCCTAGGGCTAAGTGGAGTGGTGCTGGAGATTGAACTCAGGGCCTTGCCTACGCTAGATAAGTACTTTTCTACTGAGCTACATTTCCAGGCCAAATGTATTTTAACAAACATTTAAAGTAATTCTGATATGTAGCTAAAGGTGACAACCACTAGTTTCTAAAACTACTGCCTGAGGTCTGGGGGTATAAAATCCTTCCCCAGCATGCACAAAGCCTTGAGTTCAACGCCTAGTACCCTAACAAACAAAAATTTTTGTGCACAACAAATCTGTTGCCTGAAACCCATTAATAGGGTCATAAAATGAACTTGGAGGAATGCCGTCAGCACTGGTAAAAAAAATGCAGCAGAAGTAAGATATAAAGATGTATTATACATAGAATGGTGCAACTTCATTTTATGAACTTCTGTTCCAATTTTATATGTTTGGGCCGGGGATTTAGCTCAGTGGTTCTGGTGCTTCCCTTGCAAGTGCAAGGTCCTGAGTTCGATCCCCAGTACCAAAAACAAAAAAACAACAATTTTATATGTTTAATTATATGTGTACTGGGTATGAAATTGGGTAACAATGTCAGATGGGTTTCTTACCTTCAATCCCAGTGAAATGGTAAGCAGGCAGCCACTGGGACTGCTTCTATATAAACCATACACTGAAATTCTAAAGGTTAATGTACATACATGAATTTTGAAGTTAGTCTAAAGGGGATCTGTATATTTGGTGAAGAAATGGGGACACAGAGCTGGGCACAGTGAAGCCATACCTATAATCCCAATCACATGGGAAACTGAAGCAGGAGTATCATAAATTTGATAGGCAACTGGGTAACTTGGTGAGACTGTCTCAAAATTAAAAACTTTTAAAAAGGGCTGAGGATGTAGCTCAGTGGTACAGCACTTGCCTAATATGGGCTTAATTCCCAGTATGACACACAGAGTGAGGGTGGGAGGGAAGTTTGGGTTAAATCTACACCCACCCCCATACTGGGGACTGAATCCAGGGCCTTTCCATTGAGCTACATCCCTTTTGAGAGAGGATCTCACTAAATTGTCTGGGTGGAGCTTCAGCTTGTGATCCTCCTACTTCAGCCACTCAAGAGTGCTGGGATTGCAGGCATAAGCCACTACGCCTGGGCTCAATGTGAACTTTCTTATTAGCAGAAAGGTCAACCATTTATGCTCACAGACAGGAAACAGAACATCTTACTAACTTAACATTAATGTTATATCCATGAAAACTGTGAAAATGGAGGAAATTAAAATATTTTTATTTTATTTTGGTATTTGGCAAATAAGTTACACAGGGCAAAAGTACATATAAGATCAAGGCTAAGGGGTAGGAATGTCATTTTAAGTGAAGTAACCAAAAGCCATTTTTCCTATTATGTGAGAATAAATTTTTAATTAAAAAAAATTTTTTTTTGGTATTGGTAATCAAATTCAGGGCCTCTCACTTGCCAGGAAGGTGCTGTGCCATTGAACTACATCCCCAGCCCTTAATTTAAATTTAAAATCAAAAACATTTCTCTTAACTTTCCTCTTAATTGAAAAAAATATAGGTTACAAAGCTGGGTGTGGTGGCACATCCCTGTAATCCCAGCACTCAGGAGGCTAAGGCAGGACAAGCACTGTGATTTCGAGGTCAGCCTGGGCTACCTAGTGAGTTCAAGGCCAGCTTGGACTACACCGCAAGACCCTGTCTCAAAACACAAACAAACAAACCCCCCAAAATATGTAACTATATGGAGCAGAAGACAGCCCTAAATTATTTTTAAAGATACTTTCTCCTACCAGAACAAAAAATAAAGATCACATAATAGCTCAAAGAATATTAGTTACCTTTATGACTGGTCCAGCATTTATGCATCTTTAAAATCCTAATTAACGAATTAGTACACAGAAAATGCTGAAAATTGTTTTGCACAAATACCCAAGAAAAGCCTGAATACTAAAAAACATTATGTGTAACCACGTGTGTCTTGCATGCCTTCCACTACTCAGGAAGCTGAGGCAAGAGGAATGCCCCAAGTTCAAGGCCAGCATGGGCTACACAGTGAGTTCAAGGCCAGCTTGAAATATATATAGCCAAGACTCTGTCTTAAAAAACAAAAACCAAAAAAACCCCAAATATTTTGTGTAATCAAGTTTTGTTCTTTATTGACACCTATAATTTAATGTTTATGAAAAATTATAGTACCTTCCAATATTCTTCATCCTCATCTTTGCTTCTGGAGGCATTTCCTCTGGTTCACTCTAAAGAAAAAAAGATGATACATTCAAATTTATTAAATTCACTCGATTACTAATCATGCTAAATATTTTATCTTTTAGCATTTTCAATATTGTAAACGTCAGTAAAAAGATAAATGTGGTGAATTATTTGTCTCAACTGTAGTCTTAAAAAAGGTGTCAGCTAGGAGTGGTGGCACATACCTGTAATACCAACCCTGGACTGCAAATTCAAACCCACCCTAAGGAATTCAGCAAAATCCTATCTCAAAAAGGGATGGGGATGTGGTTCAGTGCAAAGGCTCTGGTTTCCATTCCCAGTACCACAAAAATGAATGAATGAATGAATGAATGGCATTATGTTCTAAAGGTTGCAGATTTTGGATAAAGAAAAAAAGTTGGTAAAAATTTCATACTCTACACATTGTATATGTGAACTGAAATGATCACTTTATGTACAAGTATTACAAATCAATTAAAATATTTTAAAATATTTCCTCCTATGGCTATTACATAGTAAGACCCTGTCTCAAAAAACAACAACAACAAAAAAATCAACTAAAATTAGAATGACCATATGATCCAACAATTCTAGTAGTGAGTAAATATCCAAAGGAAATGAGATCAGTGATGTGTTTTTTTTTTTTAGACAAGGTCTTGCTCTGTAGTTCAAGGCTAGCCTGAATGTAGCTATGTAGCCCAGGCTGGCTTGAACTCATCACAATCCTCCTGCCTCAGCCTTCTGAGTGCTGGGATTATAGGCATACGCCACTAAGCCCAGCAGATATCAGTTGTTAAAGGTTATCTTCACTGCTGTATTTATTGTCACATTGTTGTAATAGGCATGATATGGAATTAACCTAAACATCCATCTACAAATGAATGGTTAAAAGTAAATCTGTTATATATATTCACAACAGAGTATTTCTCAGCTGCTAAAAAAAAAAATTCTGGCCCGGGGATTTAGCTCAATGGTTTCGCCGCCTGCTGTGCAAGCACAAGGACCCGAGTTGGATCCCCGGTACCAAAAAAAAAAAAAAAAATTCTATCACTTGAGGCAACATGGATGAGCCTGAAGGACAGTATGTAAGTGAAATAAGAACAGAAAGATAAAACTGCATGTTCTCACTCATACGTGGTAGCTAAAAAGGTTGATTTAATAGAAGTGAGATGTACAATAGTGAGAACAGGAGACTAGGAAGGTGGAGGGTGAATGCACAGACAATGGTACCAGGTACAAGGCTGCAGTTCAATAGGAGGAATAACTTCTAATGTTTTACAACACAGTAAGGTAAGCATGGTTGACAAGACTTAATTATATATTTCAAAATAGGTAGTAAAGATGATTTTGAATGTTCACCAACAAAAAAGTGATAAATATTTGAGCTAACGGACACATCAATTTAATCTGACTTGATCATTAGATAACACTAAAATGCTGCACTGTACCCTATAAATACATATAATTTTGTATCAATTAAAATTTGTTTTAATGCTTAAAATCTCATATTCTATGCTTTAATATGTATTATTTTAAAAAATCTTAACAGTTATACAGTAGTAATCCCACTGGGGGTTATCGTTATCATTTATATTTTACAGGTGAGGTGACAAGGTTAACTTGCCTAATGTCACAAAGCTAAACAACAACAACAACAAAAACCCCACAAAGCTAAAGAATAGCAAAAGAGACATTAAGACAAAGGCTCTTAACCACTTTACTGTGCTGTTCCTACTCAAAAGAATCTCTTTTACTATAAAGACACCCTGAAAGCTTGTTTCTTACTACCTGTCTTTTTTTGGTGCTGGGGATGGAACTCTGGGCCTTGAGCTTGCTCAGTAAGTGCTTTATCACTGAGCTAAATCCCTAACCTTCAACTTTTCCATCTTAACAGCTATGGAAAACTGTGGGACAAGTTGGTGGCATATGCTTGTAATCCCAGCACTTGGGAGGCTGAGGCAGGAGCCTTGGTGGTATTCCTGCCAAAAGAATGTGAAATTGAAGGACACTGTACAAAATAACTGGTCTCTACTCTTCAAAAATGTTAATATTGCCCCTGAAGTGTAAGGACCCAAGTTTGATCCCTGGTAGCAAAAAAAAAAAAAAGTTAATATCTTGCAAAACACAGAAAAACTCAGGAACTGTCCAAATGAAAGGAGACTAAAGAGATGCAACAAGCGAAAAAATATTTTTAAAATGCTAAAATTTTAAAAATAAAGAATATTCAGGGTGTAGGGAGGGGAAGTAAAAAAAAATTAGCGAATGTTATGTACAGGTACCAATTTCCCATGATGAATGTAATCATTATGAACTGCCAATGTATTAATAAAAAATTGAAAAAGAAAAACAAAAGTCAAAATTATAGGGCTGCAGTGTAGTTCAGTGGCAGACTGTAGCGTCAGCACAAGTGAAGCCCTGGGTTCAATCTTCAGCTCACAGACACGAAAAAGCCAAAATTAATTAAATGAATGCCCCCTTTGTTCAATATATTTCAGATTCTATATCCAAAGTTACTTAATTATGTTCTCAAAGAAAAAAAAAAGAACTGAATAATAATAACTTTAGATATAAGTCTTCTTTTATCTGAGACTACCATTATGATATAACAGAAGAGGGTTGTTTGAACCTGTTTAAAATTTCTTTAAAAGCCGGGTGTGGTGGTGCACACCTGTAATCCCAGCACTTGGGCAGCTGAGGCAGGAGATGGCTGTGAGTTCAAGGCGAGCCTGGGCTACATAACAAGACCCTGTCTCAAAAAACCAAAACAAACAAAAATAAAATAAAATAGCTTTAAAAGAAGCCAGGAAAGGTGACTCACACCTGTAATCCTAGCTACTAGAGCTACTAGCTACTAGCTACTAGAGATATGGAGGAAGACTAAAAGTTCAAGGCCAGCTCAGGCAACTTAGCCAAACCCTGCCTCAAAAAATAAAAAGGGCTGAGGACATAGCTCAGTGCACAAAGACCCTAGGTTCAATCCCCAGTACAATTAAAAAACAAAATAAAAAACAAAACTCCCGGTACCTAAAAAAACAAAACAAAACAAAAAAACAGGACAAAAAACAAGAACTCAGGCTCAGCTCATGTCTGTATTAGCATGTATTCATGCATATTTAATTTCTCCACTTGCAAAGTATAAATATACAATGCACAGGGACATATAGAGGGTAAAACAAGATTATGTAAAAACATAACCAAATTATTAGGCTTTCAAAATAAGGCATTACTATGATATAGGTGCTTACAATTTCCAGCCAGTATACTTTTGCACATACTTTCATTCTTCCTGTATTATCTTTCCATTCTATTACCTATACATATTCAAGTAAACTGGGTTAAATGGTACCTGATTTCCAAAGGATATTAAAGATGCCAGAAAACTAAATATTAGATTAGTGCTTTTCCAAGTTTTCCTGGGCAACCAAATATGATTTTTTTCCTCAACAAAACTTGGGTTCTCAAATATCAAACAGATAAAAGCATGGCTATAAGTGAAACAAGGGTAGAACGGACACCAGAGTACTGATTGTTTAAGTATCACATCCTAATAGTTCCTAAGTACTTCTACAAAATCCAAAAACTGAGTAGTTTTTAAAAACTCTATTATCTAGGGGCCGGGGATTTAGCTCAGTGGTTTCGCTGCTTGGGCTTGGCACAAGGACTCGAGTTCGATCCCTGATACCAAAAAAAAAAAAAAAAAGCAAAAAACCTCTGTTATCTAAACTGAACCTGCAGGGCATAGTGGCACACATCTGTAATCTAAGCACTCAAGAGGCTAAAGCTAAAAAAGGAGTTCAAACAAGCCTGGAACTGAGCAATGCAGCACATGCCTATTAACACCAGCACTCAAGAGGCTGAGGCAGAAGGATCTCCTCAAATTCAAGGCTAGCCTGAGCTAGAAAGTGAGTGTCTCAAAAACATAAAAACAAAACAAAAAAACCCAAACCAACCAACCAGCCTGGGCAACACAGTAAGATACTGTCAGGAAAAAATGAAAAACAAAATTTACCGCTCATGTATGAGGTCCTGTGTTCAATGCCTGGTACCAAAATAAATAAAATAAACAAATACAAAAATAAATAAAGCAAGATTTATAACAGCTGAAAAATAAGGCTCCCAAAAAAGAGATTTACTCACAGATTTCTGGTGATTAATAACTGGACAAATGTAGCTCAGTGGTAGAATATTTGCTTAGCATGCTCAAACACATGGATACAATCCCCAATACTAAAAAAACCCAGAAACACCAAAACAAAACAAAAACTCTTAAAAGTCACCAAACCAAATACTGTATTTAGTATGAAAATACTGTTCAGCACGTCTGTAATTCCAGCTACTTGGGAGGCTGAAGCAGGAGGATCACCAGTCTGAGCCCACCCTAGGCAATTTATTGAGATCCTGTCTCAAAAAATAAAAAGGGCTGGGGATGTACCTCAGTGTGAAAGCCCTGAGTTCAATCCCTAGTACCACAAACAACTAGGCAAGACTGAGTAAGAATCCAGGTCTTCCAACTGAAAGTCAAGTGGTCTTTCCATCCTGCTACATCTAGTACCTGGCATCTATTCTTTTTTTCTGAATGTCCTCAGTATTTTATCTCTTCAGATACTTCTGATTTTTAAAATCTTACATATAAGTTTCTGTCCTACTAGGCTGTTCCTAAAGGAACATGTCTAATTTATTTCTTAATCACTATGCCTGGTGTAAGGAAAACACTCAAATGTGTAGAATGAGCAAAACCAATGGAGAATTTTGGCTTACCAAACTTCTGCCTAATGTTTTAGTAGCCAGTTCATGTTGCTTCTCATTATTTATACATAGCAATTCTTCTCAAATGACTCCATTCCCAGTGTTGATGCTCTTCTAATTTGTGTGTGCACACGCATGCTCGTGTGATACTGAGATTGAAGCCAGAGCATGCACACTGAGCTACAAACCCAGTGATCCCCAACTGCTAGGATTACAGGCAAGTGCCACCATGCCCAGCAAGATAGATTTTGTTTTCTTCAGCTTATTTTTTTCTCCCAGTGCTGGTGATTCATAAAATTCTTATCCATATAGTTTTTGGCTTTTTGTTGTTATTCATATACCTTCTAACACTTAATTATTTATTACACAAAGGGGTCATATCTTAAATGGGGGTTAGTTTCTAAACTCAGAGCATTAATAAAGAAATGCTAATCAAAATTATGTTTGAAAATTCCACTAGTCATCCATAAGCATGGTAAGATGGGGACTGTAAGGGGTATGAGAGAAATGGGACTAAAGAGAACAGCCGAAAAGCATCTTTATTCATTCTGGATCTAAGAAGTTTGGGCAGAATCACCCATTCTTACATATGGGAAGCAAGTACTATAGGTGCGTTTGGTAATTTGCAAGCACAATGTATCATCAATGAAGTCCTCCAGATATGAGGATGTATTTAAATACTACCTAGTACATTTTTCTTTTGGGGGGGGGGTCCTACATACTTCCATATACTATTTATAATAAACATTTGCTAATGTGATTAAGGTTCTTGCCCCAGAAGTCAACTATTTTAACACAATCCTACAACCAAATAAAATACAAAAAAGTTTTTGTAGGTGTCACAAAAAGTTTTAAAAGAAATTTAGTAATATCATTAATTCAACCTAAATTTGCCATTAATACCTTCCTTAATGAACTGGTTAAAGTAAAATAAAACTAGTATTAACTTACATCTTCATCTTCATTAAAAGCTGCTGCTACTGAAAGGGTTTTTGGAGCAAGAGTTGGAACAGTTTCTTTAGGCTTCTGAAGAGGAAACATTAAAAAGAACATCATGTAAGTAACATTTACATACGCCTGTTAATGATATGAATAATTTATCTTGAAATATTCACCCTTATGCTTTCATAAACATATTGTAAGAAACTCAATATTTTAGACAAATCTATTATCTCTGAAAATGTGGGTTATCACTGGATAGGATTTTCACTGTTCTAATTTGCTAGTTTCTCTCCTGCAAAAAAAAAATTCTCTAGGATCTATAAGATTACTTAACCTAAAAGGTACTTGGTACAGTTAAGAGAAAATGATTAGTAATATTTTCCCATAGGAACATTAAAATTAATACAAAGTACCTAATGAACACACAAGGCATCACGCCTCATCTTTTTTCTACTAGTTAGGTTTTTACTCTGTTTGTTTTAAGACAGGGTCTTGCTATGTAGTTCAGACTGTCCTTGAACTCACTGTATAGACCACGCTGGTATGGTAATGCTCCTGTCTCCGCCTCCCAAGTGCTGGGATCACAGGCATACGTCACCACACCTGGCTCTAGCTTGCTACCCTTTTGCCTGTAAGCATTCATCTACTTCATTTCTCTCTGCAACCTAAGTTTTTGATGAAGTAAACTGGTCTTATTATCTCCATCCTCTCATCAGCCATTTAGTTTATCTCACTGTAATCTGCTCCCAACCTCACCGTTTCCCTGAAATTATTCTCTGTAGGATCACCAATGACTAATGTACCCTGAATCTGATTCTACACTAGCTTCTTATTTTTTTATATTGAGGACTGAATGCAGGACCTTGCTCATGTTGGGAAAGTGCTCTATCACTGAGCTACACATTCCAAGCCCGTTTTATTTTGAGCCAGAGTGTTGCTAAATTGCCCAGCTGACCTTGAACTTGTCCTTCTGTCTCAGGCTCCCTACTTGCTGGGTTTATGTGCAAGTGCCACTTACTTAGCTTACAGCTACTTTTTGAAACATTTCTCCTTTGGCTTCTGGGGCATTGCTTTTTATTGGTTATTCTCTTAATTCTCAGACTTTTTGTTTCTTTACTCTTTCCTTTCTCTGCTGCTCCTCATTCGCAAGATAGATACCTAGGATTCTACTGTTAGTGACCTTTTCTTCTCTGGTCAATTCCATTCATTTCCACAGTTCTGACTACCAAACCCTTCGTCTACCCCAAATCGGATGTCACCTGTGTATTGGACAGCTCCACTTAAGAGTGCCCATGAGTACTTTAGTTTCATAGTTTTCAAAATACTCAAGCCAGAACCCTTTCCCTAAACTTGTAAGGTCCTGTTGATTAGACACTATTAAGCAGACTTAACTCTCCCTCTGCCTTTCCATTACACTAGCAAACTACCAACTGAAATCCCTTAGTGTGACTCAACTGGTCTACCTCCTGACTTTTTGTGTTCTTATTCCTCTAACCCTCTGCACTGATATCAGAGTAATGTTTTTAAGATACAAATCTGTTTAAGTCTCAAGATTCCTTATAATAGTTCTATGCTCTCTACAATCTAAACTTAAAAATCAAACTGTATTATCAAACACATAATTCTCGGAATGTACTATATACCTTCACCTCCAAACTGCCTGTGCCTGAAATGTCTTTTTGCCTCCTGCCTGAATTTAAGTCCAACTCATATACCATATCATCAGTAAAGTTTTTTGCTATGCTGGAACAAAGCCATCCTTCTTCTGTGCATACACACATGTACATACTTTTTAGAATGTATACTTTTGAAGGAATAAAAAATGTTAGACAATATCCATAGTGACTCTAGAAATACCTGCTACTCTTAAAGATACCATGTATTTAGTGTTATAGACACAATATAAGGCACAAGTACTGACTGATCAATCACTTTTCATATCATATAATTAAAGCAAAAGTTTCATTTTTGTTTATAGTACTGGGGATTGAACCAGTACTTTTGCACTGAGCTACATCTCCAACCCTTTTTTGTAAAGTTTATTTGCAAAAGTAAAAGTGATGAGTCAGGGAGAAACTGGCTCTGCAGAGCAAGCTTGGGCAGAATAAAAGAGAAAAAAAAGCAAGATAAAAGTACACTCTGGAGAAAGCAGGCCGGGCTATCATGAGGAAAGCCACAATAGCCCCCAACCCTTTTTAAAATTTGAGACATGGTCTTGCTAAATTGCCCAGGCTAGCCTGGAACTTTCAATCCTCTTGCCTCAGGCTTCCAAACCACTGGGATTATAAGTGTGTGGCCTTGCAACTAACTACAACTATTTTTTTTAATATCCTATACCTTACTTCCTCAAAAGGATTGTAGTTTCTTTTATAAAAACAAGCTTTTGTTTTCCAAAATTAAAAGGTTTAGGCCAAACGCATGGCTCAGTGGCAGAGTGCTTGCCCAATATGCATGACCCCCTGGGTTCAATTCCCAGTACTCAAAAAGAGGGCTTGGGGGTAGGAAACTCTTTTCTCTCTGACCCCTTTTAAGGCACAGAGCACCCTAGCTTCAGGCTGCCACAAAATTAAAAGGTTTTACTGACCAGGCTTTTTCAAAAATAATCTTTCCACTTAAAATGATCAGTAATTACTAAGTCATGTCAATAATGTATAAAAAGTAAGGATTTGGATTTAGGGAGTATGTCCAAGCACAATAAAATCTATTATCAAGGAGACCATCTATGTTAGCAAAAATACATATTTTAATATACTATCAAAATATTTAGGTCTATACAACTTTTTAAAAAGTATTACACAATAAGAATCAACAAAAAAAAATCAACTGAAATAGAGAAAAATACTAATAAAGTAGTAATATGATGAGCTAAATGTCTTTTAGTAAGACAGAATTTTTTTTTGGTACTGGGGATCGAACTCAGGACCTTGCACTTGCAAGGGAAGCACCAGAATCACTGAGCTAAATCCCTGGCCCAAGACAGAATTTTTTTTAAAGGGAGAAAAAGAAAAAGGCAAAATATAGAAGTGGGGGAGGGGGCAGATTTAGCTCAGTGGTGCCACCTCCTGCCTCAAAAGCACAAGGTCCTGAGTTCCATCCCCTGTACAAAAAAAAAAAAAAAAAATACAACACAGGATGGGAATTGGGGATCCTGAGTAATGGTATCTTTTAAACGAGAATAAGAGAGCTGGAGATGTTGCTCAGTGACAGAGCACTTGCTTAGTATGTGCAAGGGCCTAAGTTCTATCCCCAGCGCTGCAAACAAAAACAAAGCAAAACAAAACTCTAAAGATAACTCAAACTGATGTTTGCAGGAAACTGATCTAGACCATATATATATATATATTTTTTTTTGGTACCAGGGATCGAACTCAGGACCTCATGCTTGCCCAGGCAGACATTATGCCGCTGAGCTAAATCCCTGGCCCTAGACCATATTTTTTAAATATCTAAATGGCCAGGCATGGTGGCACACATCTGTAATGCCAGCACTTGGGAGGCTGAGGTAGGATTGCCAAGAGTTCAAGGCCAGCCTGAACTACACAGCAAGAGACCTTGTCTGACAAAAACAAACAAAAAATATCTGCATGAACATTTATGGCAGAAATAAAGCTGTCTCCATTCAACAACTAAGCATTAACTTTCACAGGCCACAAATAAGCAATTTAAGGCAATTTTAGGGGGCCAGGGATTTAGCTCAGTGGTGCTGCCACCTGCCTTGAAAGCGCAAGGTCCTGAGTTTGATCACTGGTATCAAATAAATAAATAAAGCAATTTTAGGGTTTTCCTTATCTCACAAAAATGTAAACCTTTTCTAAAGTCAGTGGCAATACACTATTTAATTTTTTTCCTTAAACAAGACTTGTTTGAACTATATTAAATCATCATATAGTAGCTAGGAACAAGTATCTCCAACTTCATAAGCTTCAAATACTTCTAGAGGTTTCATGGTTAGTATTAATTCACAGTTTACATCTTCTTAGAACAAGGGATCAAACACTGATATGTAAAACATTACTGTCATAAGGTATATCATAGTACCCAATGTTCACTGTAGTTCCAAAGATAACCAGAAAGGTCTTCTTAACAAGCAATACCTTACTAATATTAATCTTTTCTTTTTCTTTTTGGAGACAGGGTCTCACTATGTAGTTCAGGCTAGCCTCGAACATGCGGCAATCCTCCTGCCTCAGCTTCCCTCCCAAGTGCTAGGATTACCAGTGTGCACCACCATGTGTGGCTATTAATCTTTTAAAACAGAAGTAACTGATTTCTAGCCATGTCATTATTTTGTGTATGTGTGGTGCTACGGATCAAACCGTAGACCTCTTGAACGCTAAGCTCTTGCTCTACCACAGAGCCATACCCCAGCCCATGGAAAGATTTTTAATACTATTGAAGCTGAAAGAAAAATAAACTGAAATTCTTTCTGAAAATATTTTTAAGAGGATTTTCTCAACTCAGAAAAATTTTGTTATTACTTTATAAGTCATGTATTTTCTATAATAGTTGTTCCTTCTAGTATTACTTGTACTTTTTTGCTTGTTTGTTTGGAGACGGGGTCTCGCTATGTAGTTCACGCTGGCTTTGAACTCACTATGTAGCTGGCCTTGAACTCCTGGGCATCCTCCTGCATCAGCTTCCCGGGGGCTGGGATTACAGGTGTGCCCCATCACACCTAGCTTAAATGTATTTTTGGGGTTTTTTGGTACAGGGGATTGAACTCAGGACCTTGTGCTTGCAAGGCAGGAGGCAGAACCACTGAGCTAAATCCCCAGCCCTACATGTATTTTTTAAACCACTTGAGACTAATGCATCTAGTCTTTTTCTCTTTTTTTTTTTTTGGTACCAGGGATCGATCTCAGGTCCTTACACTTGCAAGGCAGGTGGCAGAACCACTGAGCTAAATCCCCAGCCTGCATCTAGTCTTTTTCTACACAAGTTTCTAATCACTTCTTAAATACGGGTAAGCTCATACAAATATCAAGCAGTATACTTTTCATACTTAATTTATCATAATCTAGTAAAAGCAGGTTTCCAAAACAAATCCTTAAGACCCTGAAAAACATAATACACAAAATAACCACTCACACTTGATCCAAGTTTGATGGATATAGCTGATGCTTTCTTTGTTGTCTGACTACCTATGGCAAATCCAAACTTGGAGATCTTTGTAGGCTTTGTTGGGAGGTCTGCAGCTTCTTCTTCAGCTGATCGCTTTTCAGCGCTGCGACTGGAACTTTCCCCTCCATTACTGGAAGAAACAGTCTTAGTTTTCACAGGTTTTTCTGCTTCTTCTTCAGGTCCTGGTGAAGTCGAAACAACTTACCAAGATGAGCTATTTTTACTGAGCAGATTGATGGGAGCAGCAACCTCAAAAAGCATCGTTATAAGGAAGATACCTCTGCAGTTGTCACCTACTGACCCAAGTCTCTTCCACTGTTTGTTAGAGTATATAGCAGGAACTGAGATTGTGTGGCAGTAGAAGAGGTTCCCATGAATTAACTAGCATAAAATACAGAGCAATTTAAAATTATAAACATAGAGTTCACAAAAAGTAAAGACCCTTCAACTAAACACTACCATATAAATTGTACAGTAATCTTGTTATTTGTGGAAGTTTGTTGTTTAGAAGTTAAGACCAACAAATTATTTTACACAAACTAGTTTGTGAGAAGTCATATAACACATCTGGCTAACAGATTCTAATAGTCTCAATAATGTAGTACTAATCATACAAACTACCTAGCCATGAACAAGACCATTATTACCCAAACCACAGTGTTAACAAAGCCTAGAGTTATTTGACTGAGTGATGTGTTCCTTATGTAACACAATCTTAAGCGTTGCAAAAAAGCTTCAAGAAGTTCAGGGTTGTCTCCTAGAGTAATGTCATCCTACTCTAAAAGCCTGGTTCCTATTTGTTTTAAGCTACCTATAAAAGCCATTTAAAGTCATACTTCGTTATATATTTTCTTAAGAGTGATGAGCTAATTATCTCAACAGTAGATATAGTAGGTTTGGAAGGTAAGATGTCTTTTAATAATTTTGCTTCTATTTAGATTAAGTCAATAATTGAACCTGCATCTCAAGTATCTCAGCTCTGTTACGAGAAGGCAAAAAAAGACTGGCAGATTATTAAAAGTTTTATTTGGGCCAAGGATGTAGCTCAGTGGCACCTCGCCTGTCTGGCAAGTGCAAGGTCCTGAGTTAGATCCCTGGTAAGGTGTGTGTGTGGGGGGGTATTTTCTTCCCTGTCTAATTTACTCTACTGAATGTATTTTGTTACAGTGGATGAGGGACTTACTTGTGGAAAAAGAGAAGATGGTCTAAAGGATGACCTTGACAAAAGTAATAAAACAGGACAAAAAGCTAGAATGGGAAGAAAGAAAAAATCTAACACAAATAGACTGGCAAGTAAAGGAGTAAGAGGTTATATAGTCAGGCGGAGGATCACCATGAGTTTGAGGCCAGCACAGGCTATCTAGTCAGTATAGCAAGACCAGTGTTAAAACACCAAAAATAAATAAAAGAAAAAAAGAGGTTATAGAGAACTAACCACTTTAAAAGAAAGAATATTCTGCCAAGAATTAGATTTTTAGGGCTCAGGTTAAGGTTACACTGATTTTATCCTGAAATCTATTTACAGTTTTAACTAAATATGACAATTCACAGTAAAACCCAAACTACTTTTCTATGATGACACACCACTAAAACTGACAACTCATTAGTTGTACATACTGGAGCATACAGAAACTCACAGGCTTTACTTACAGAAACAATCTACTAAAGGTACAAGTTTTGTTCAAACACAAACCAAAAAAAAAATTTTTTTTTAAATAGCGTAAAAGCCAGGTGTGGTGGTGCATGCCTATAATCCCAGCACTCAGAAGGCTGAGGAAGGAGGATCGCTGAGTTGGAGGCTAGCCTGGGTTACACAGCGAGTTCAAGGACAGCATGAACTACATCGTGAGATCCTGTCTTAAAAACAAAAAACCAAAACAAAACAAAAAAAACATAAAGAATATTTAGATTTGATCATAGTGTAACTCTGCTCTGAACCATTACACAAGGGCTATAATTAAGATTTCTTATACTTTTAAAGCCTATCTTAATTATGCCACAGAGAAGATTTCCATGGAGACTGCTCCAGAGAAAGGCAGTATGAGAGAACTACTCTTATTTATTAAGTAATCAACTGTCATTAAGTAATCAGCTGTCAGCAACTAAATTCTATTCATATCTGTTACTGTCAAGTGAAGAGGCAAACTAGATTGCCCATATTACAAGTCCACACAGAAGATGAAACACATTATGTGTTTCGGGGAGATGAGGGTGAGGGGTCGAGGTTATGTAGCTCAGGTTAGCCTTGACTTACTATGTAGCCCAGGTTGGCCTCAATCTGGTGGCAAGCTCCTGACTCAGGTGCAGAGATTATAGGCATGGGCCATCACATCTGCCAGGGTTTTTTTGTTGTTGTTGCAGTGCTGGGGATCAAACCTAGAGTCTCACACATGCAAGAAAAGCACTCTACCACTAAACTGCACCCTTAGCCTGTACTATGGTCATTAGGTAATTTCTATACAGGACTAATTCCAGAAATAGCAATTTATTTCTAGACATAGTAAATAACTGCTAGGCCTTCTAACTCTCAAGTTCTTTTGTTTTGTTTTTTAAAGCAACTATAAAAGCAGAATCTTAGGTCAGGTTTACTCTTCAGTGAAGGGATGGAGGGAATAGGGAATCAAGGAAAGTAGTGCACTATAAACTTTCATTTTCTAGGGCCGGGGATTTAGCTCAGTGATTCTGCCGCCTGCCTCTCAAGTGCAAGGACTCATTCCATTCCCAGTACCAAAAACCAACAAACAAAAAAACCTTTCATTTTCTAACCTTACAAAGCCAAATGTGTCACATGGATTGAGTTGTTATTTTCTCTTGACATAATTTTCTTAACAATCATGTAGCAAAATACAGCAAAAATACATTTGGAAAGTAAAAGGAATAAAAAATGGGCTAACATGGGAAAATGACAGCAAATCTGCTATTAATATATTATAATTTTTACAATTCCATATTTAGGTCATTAAAAACATATCTCAACCTAATATGACCATTGAAATATATCATTAAATATCAACAGTAATTACTATGAGTTTTTCTTTAAACAACATGTACTACTTTAATACTTCGGACTTTTAAGAATCTTCATTTTTACTCCATTTAATAAGACATTTTGTATTTTGGGACTGTGGGAAACAAAATTTTGGATGACCACAGATGAGTACTGCGAAGATTTTTAGTATATTAGTTTTAAGAATGAATAAATAAGCCCGGTGTGGTAGCACACAGGCCTACAATTCCAGCTCTGTGGAAGGCCAAGGCAGGAGGATCACAAGTTCAAACCCAGATTGGGTAACTTAGAGATACTGTCTCAAAATAAAAAATGAAAAATGGGCTGGCAATGTAGCTCAGTGCAATGGCCCTGGGTTCAATCCCTACTACCACAAAAAAGAAAAGAAAAGGAAAAAAAAGTGTAATATCACTCCTTTGAAAGAGTGGCAGGTAAAATACATAGTAGATTTATGCTAACACATAAAATTACATTTTGGCAGCAAATTATTAAACACATCTCAACTACTAACAGTCAAGATAGTCATTTTGGGGGGGGGGTTGTTTTTGGTACAAGGGATCAAACTCAGAACCTTCTGCTTTCGAGGCTGGGGGCTGCACCACTGAGCTAAATCCCCCAGCCCAAGATAGTTATATTTTTAGATGTAGTTAAAGACAAAATCCTGTAAGACTCTTTAGGCTACACATCTTTGAGTTTTCTTGAACTGCTCCTAAACTACATCTAAATTTTTATATAATTTGACAGTTTCTAACAAAACAATTGGGGGAGGTAATTCCAAACAAGGAAGTATCTGATATTTAAAATTGTTTCTAAACTCTTTCACCAGTTAAAGACAGAGACAGAGAGAGAAAAGAAGCAGAAGGGGAGGGAAGGAGGAAGACGGAGGGAATTTCGACTCAACTAATAGCACCAAGCACCGTTTCTCAAAAAGGAAATTCTAGGTCCAAGGTAACTGTACATTACACTTGTTTTTTCAGGGGACTGGGGTATTAGCTCAGTGGTAGTGAGCTCCCCTAGCATGAACTGGCCCTGGATTCCATTCCCACCATTGCAATAACAAAACCATTTGTCTTTTCAATTATTTTTGTTCCCAGAACAATTTAAACATCCGTTAGTAGGTTCTACTCTTTGCCTCCATGTGCTACTAATCTTGTATACTTTCTTATATTACTTTCAGTGTTAACACTTAAGGGAATCAGAATAGAGGATATCAATACATTCTGAAGACGTTATGATCAGCTCGTTCACGTTAAGTCACTAATCGGGGGGGGGGGGGGGACGGACATGTTTCTTTTCAAGCTTCAGGCACAAGACCCAAATTTACAGAGGTGGAGGGGACTGAATAAGAAAATAGGAATAGCCGTAAACTGAGTTTAATACTGCAGTCATACACTACCACCCTGTTAAACCTCCTAAGCATCGTGACATGCTGTAAACTGGTAACAGCCCAAGAAAAGGCAGATAGTTTCAAAGAAAGGCGACTAAACCCTATCATTAGACTGGGCAGTTCAAACCTCTTTCCTCCATCCTGTCGGCCCATCTCGCTACTGGGTCTGGAGGATGCTTGAAAATAAAGAGTGGGCCGGGGCCGGACACCTCCTCAGCGAAAGGGGAGCGGCAGGCGTAATGAACTCCTACGTGCTACTGAGAGGCCAGTACCTTCGGAAACTCGGCCTTGGGCCAGTTCTCGGGGCTACTTTGAGTGGCCTGCACTCGTGTGTGTGTGTGTGTGTGTGCGTGTGTGTGTGTGTGTGATGAGTGGCTCTGATGTGTGTGTTTTGTGTGATGTGAGCCTTCCCGGTGTGGGAGGGAGCGGTTCCAGCACCGCTGCTCCCAGTCCCGCCTCAAGTTTAGTCTCCCTTTCTGGCTCCCATCTTCCTACTCCTGAATACAAAGGCTTCCAGAAGCCAGGAGGTGACGAACAGTGGCCGACTCTCCAGAGCCAAGGAGGCAATGTGGGCCTGGAAGCCAGCGGGCCGCACCGGGCGTGCCCCGAGCTCGTCTGGGCCCAGCACCTAGCTGAGTGAACGCCAGACCGGCCCATTCTCGCTCTATTTCACTCCCCCCTCCCCGGGGAGCTCAAAGAAAGGACCGGAGTATCCCACGCAGCCCGCGACGCTGGGGTTGTGTTCACCTCCGGCGGCTCCAGCTCGCTTCGGCTTCTCAGGCTTCTCCTCTCCCGCCTTTCCGTCCGCCATTTTCCCGGCTGAGGCCTCCCTTGCAGCCACGCCAAGGACGTCACGGCCCCGCCCAGTAACCACGGAGCTTTGGGGCCAGCGGACGAGGTTGAAGCCTAGAGCGGCCCTGGAGCCGGAAAAGAGGGACCCTTGGAAACGGAAGTGGATGTGACGTAATCCATTAGCTGTCACTGCACTGACGGAGGGGAGGGAAGAATGCGGGATTGGAGGTCTCTGGAGGACTGGTTGGGCGTTCCATGGTTCAGTGGTGGGCACGGAGAGAAGTGAGGGGAGCGCGAGCATAACCTGGGAAACACTGGTGGAATCCTAGAAGATAGCTGTATAGTCAGGTGTGGTTGCTGCTGAAGCTGGCAGGGTCCTTCTGGCTTTACTGGACGTGTACCTACCTAGTCTACCTACTGGGGAGGGGAAAGGGGTTTTGTTCTTTTTCCTTATTAAAGAGAAAAATCAACATTTGTTGATCGCCCTCTAGTGTTAGACACCTTTCATACACTACCGTTTAATCCCAATAGTTCCATATGGATTTACCCCTTAATTTACTGTGAATTGAGAGCAGATAGTAATTTGTCCAAGGTCTTGTAGTGAAGCGACGAAGCCACTTTTTCTTCAAGCTGCAAGTTCTCTATCAATTGGGACTACCGTAGTCTCTCCTTTGCTCAGAAAACTTTAATGAATTCCCAAGGTCTACAGAATGAAGTTCATACATTATATTAGGCTCCAACGTTATCTTCTCTTTTTCGGCCTCTCTTCCTTTTTTCTCTACGTTTATCCTGTCCTCTAGCCAAACGGGGTCAACTACTTGCCTAGAGGGAAGTAGGATTTTCTGAGTTTGTTCCAATACACACTCTATGTTAGGGAACAGTCTTTTTTGAATCCCTGATGTGCCCTTTCCCGGCGGAGTCATCTTGAGTTTGCTTTCTGCCCGCAGATCTCCCTTCACTTCTCTGTAAAAAAATAAAAAATATTGCTTCTTCAAAGGGAATCAAGTGAGGTAACTTCTAAACCAACCGTGGTGGTGCAGGCCTGTAATCCCAGACTCGGGAGGTTAGGGCAAGAGGACTGGCCGCGTTGGAGGCCAGCCTAGGGTACACAGTGAGTTCAGGACAGCTTGAACTATATAACAAGACCCTCAAAACAAAAAATCTGTATGCCATTGTTTGGTGTGTGTGTTGTATTAAAGCAAGTGTTGTCTCTCTAAAAGTCTGGTGGTAGAACATAACTTGGTGGTAGAACATGTCCTGTCCTTAGCATGTATGAGGCTGTTAATCCCCAGCACCAAAAAAAGGAAATCTTTAACCACAGATACCACTAATAAACCTTTATTTACTGCCATTTTGTACAAGGCATTTCATAATTGAAAGGTGGTATTTGTGGATGGATGACTTTCAGGCTTCAAGCTGAGAATGTGAAAAGAGTTAACATGTGTTTCCCATGACAGAAGTACAGTAGTTTGGTGGTGATTTCATAATGAGTTGAAATCCCTTTTCCACCATTTATCACACATCATATGTGAAACTGACCAGGAGACTTTCTCAGAGCAGTACTTCATTCCTATTTGTTACATTTTTCTTACCTATGCTCTTTACAAGGTAATCACTGAGATTCTTCTATTTTTAAATGGGGACATAAACATGAGAATTTTAGTTGAAATTACATATTTACAGATGTATTTTAAATGAGGAAAATGAAGCTTATAGGTCACATGCCTATCTGAATCCAGATCCAGATCACACACACCACAATGTAGAAATTAGATGCAATCATTGCCCATCCTTCAGTTTGATGAAGTCAAATTTTGCTTGTCCTGCTCACCACGGTTTCCCCAGGACCTAGAACTCCATAAACATTCACTGAAAAGAATCCATCCCTCAGTAGCCCACTACAAAGGGGTTAGGGTTTGAAAAGGTAGTGTAATGCAAAGCAAAGAGCCTAACATCAGTTTTATGTATATTACACAGAACCAGATTTAAATTCTGACTCTGTCAGCCAGATGTGGTGGCACACACCTGTGATCCCAGCTCTCTGGGAGGCTGAGGCAGGAGGATCACGAGTTCAAGCCCAGCCTAGGAAACTTAGCTAGATCCTATCTCAAAATTTAAAATGGGGGTGTTTGGGGATGTAGCTGTGAGAAGGCCCTGATAAAAATAATAAATTCTGACTCTGCCATTTACTAATTAAATTTGGGCTGATAATATTACTAAATATATATTTTTAAAATATATTTATAGGGTCGGGGATTTAGCTCAGTGGTTCCGCCACCTGCCTCGCAAGCACAAGGACCCGAGTTTGATCCCTGATACAAAAACAAAACAAAACAAAAACTAAAATATATTTATAAAAGTGGGATGTTTACAGAAATACTGAGATCATGAAGATAATTGAGGTAATTTTTTTTTTTTTTTGGTACCGGGGATCGAACTCAGGACTTTGCGCTTTCGAGGCAGGCAGAGGAACCACTGAGCTAAATCCCTGGCCCAGGGTAAAATTCCTAATACACTGCTAACCATGGGGTGGGCTTGCTTAATGGTAGCTATTGTTTATAACCCTTAAAGACCTACTCAAATGATGGTTTAAAAAATGGGAACAGAACACTATTTCACCTTAGATGTGTAATTTGTGAGGTGGCAACGATATCTGATTTATTCATACCTAAAGCATGATCAGTATATCTGTAAATATTTAACATGAAACTAACCTAAATCATCACAACCCTTTAAATGAGGTACTATTACTCTCATTTTTATGGATGAAGAAAATGGGACATGGGAAGTGGTAGTGAGCAGTGGAGTTGAAGTGTAGGCAGAGAGCTACAATAAAATGCAGCCTGACCCTAGTCTGACAATGCCAGGCAATCTTAATCTCTTGTTCTTAACCACTATAGTAGTTCAAACACAAGATACTTGCCATTTAACAGAGTCTAACAAAATTGATTCATAGCATACTACCCACTGTCAGGTCAAAGTTTACACATCATTTTTTCAGGGCTTCTCCTGATCCCACAGCTGTATTATATATAATTTAAAAGCTGGTAGTCTAAAATCAGACAGATCTGTCAAGTTTGGTGTCACATGCCTATAATCCCAGCCCTGGGGAGGCTGAGGCTGGATGATCACAAGTTCAAGGCCAGCCTGGACTACACAGTGAGACCCTGTCTCAAAAAACAAAAATAAAACTGTGTGTTATGGCACACACCTGTCATATTAGTACTCTGGAGGGCTGAAACAGGAGGATCACAAGTTTGAGCCAAGCCTAGACGACTTAGCCACTTTGCAAGACCCTGTCTCCAATATAAAAAATTTAAGAGCTGGGAATGCAGCCCTGTGAGGCGGCTCTGCATTGCAAAAAAGAAAAAGATCTTATGAATTCTGAGTCTATACAGAGAGGCTGAATTATTTGGAATACATTTGTCTTATCTGTAAAGGGCTAGTTTCTTCATCTATAAAAAGATGATGTTTACAACCTTTTTAAATAATTCATATAAACTGTATACTACATCTTTTGGCACAAAACAAGTACTTGGTAGTACAGTACTTGGTAAGATTAGATCCCCTTCTATGAAGGGTACATATTAGACAATATAGCTCATGTTAATTTCCAATTCAGAAAATAGGCAGGCCTGGGCATGGTGGCACACGCCTGTGATCTCAGCACCTAGAAATCTGAACCAGTAGGATCTTTCAAGAGTTCGAGGCCAGCCTGGGCTCCATAGTGAACTCAAGGCCACTTTGAACTAGTAAGACAGTCTCAAAAGACCAAAAGAAAGTAAAAGAAAAAAAGAAACTAGGTAGAAAGAGTTTCATTTTAGTGTCATTTCTATTACTCAGGTTAAAAAAAAAATTGTTTTTGGAAAACAAGGTTTCACTATGTAGTTAAGGCTGGTTTTGAACTCAAAGTGATCCTCCTGACTCAGCCTCCAAGTGTTGGAATTATAGGCATGTGCCACCATGCCCAGGCCCCCCCCCCCAAAAATTAATGGTGTAGTCTACAATGATTATTGTTCCTAAAGTTCATTTGGTTTTTTGTGGGGGTGGGGGGTTGTTTTGTGTTTCAAGACAAGGTCTTACTCACTATGTAGTTCAGGCTGGCCTTGAACTCAGTGATCCTCCTGCCTCAGCCTCCTGAGTGACTGGAATACAGGCATGCACTACCTTGCCCTACCTAGAGGTCATATCTTAAGAAACAAGTATACATTTTTTTCAAGTATATTAGGTCTCATTTGATATCAAGTGGCAGAAACACAACTCAGGTTGGCTTGGGGGGAAGAAAAAGAGCAATTTACTACAAGTATAGCAAAGGGATCTCCTGAGGTTTAAACCCATGAGTACAAAAGGAAAATCTATAGCTGGACATCAGGGTCAAGTGGAACCAGAGATTTGAACAGCTCCAGAAATTGGCCTTATTTCTATAGTCCTACTATAGTCTGACTTACTCCACAGAAAGAGGCAAGACTACCACCAATTCCAGAGCTTCCAATCAAAGTCCATCACCTGAAAGGAAATGATGAAGGCTTAGTTCTCAAGTCCAAAAATTGTGGGAAATGGTTATGACTGCCTTATGTTAGTCATCCATGAACTAATCAATTGGCCAGGGGAGACTGGGTACTATGGGTAACCAAGCCTGTGTGAGGCATGTTCTTTTGTAACCAGCTGTGGCCAAAACTGCAAAGTCTGTACAGTATGGTAGCTTCCATTCAAAAACCTGTCACTGGTGAAACAGATGTATTTCCTAGAAAAGGCAAACTAAGGGCCGGGGATTTAGCTCAGTGGTTTCACCGCCTGCTGCACAAGCATCAAAGACCTGAGTTCGATCTCCAGTACCAAAAAAAAAAAAAAGAAAAGGGAAACTATACTATAATAGGCAAGGTACTACATACAACATTAACCAAATAAACCTTTTTTTCTAAGTGGGCAAGAAATTAGTTTTATCTCCACAAACTCATTTTTCATAGCACAGCCAAAGCACATGACATGTCAAGGGATCTCTTGTTTAAACAAGATCCAGTTAAGCAATATGGCTTAATACCTATGACATGCCCAGCATTGTACCAATGCTTGAATGAGTGAACCACCACCCAAAGTCAAGAAACCGTTCCAAATCATTTTTTTTTTTTTTGGTACGGGGCTCAAACTCTGGACCTTGCGCTTTTGAGTCAGACGGCAGAACCACTGAGCTAAATCCCTGGCCCTCCAAATCAATTTTTAATGAAAGGGTAGTCACACACACAGATAAAAGAATACACACATATATATATCTTTTTTAAGACAGGGTCTTTGTAGTTTAGGCTGGCCTTGAGCTCACTATGTAGCCCAGGCTGGCCTCAAACTCCCGATGATCCTCCTGCCTCAGCCTCCAGAGTGGTGGGATTTCAGGTATGTGCCACCATCCCTAGCTGGATAAAGAATATCTAAAAAAGACATTTAAGAAGGAAAATGAAGTCTATTCAAAAGTCACACCAATGGTACAACTTTTTATTGGCCTCATGTAAAGATTATTCCATTAAACCAACATGGATAATTTCTGATTATTAAATGTCTATCATAAACAAAATACATTCTCAAAGTTCTGATTTAAGTAATTGGGCAAAGACTTAGTTTGGAAACACCTTTTTTTTTTTTGCGGTACCAGGGATCAAACTCAGTACCTAGTGCTTGCCAGGCAGGCGAGGTGCCACTGAGCCACATCCCCAGTGGAAACACCTTTCAAAGAAAAAGATGAGTTCCATTTTGGAAAGAAATATGCTAATAGAACTATATTTCCATTGAAAAATACAACTATAGTTTCATTCCACTTACTTTTTAAGCTATCAAATTTTCTCATTTACGCCAACTTTCTGTCTTTCTACTTAAAAGTATGCTTTGGGAACGAATTAAAAGTCTTTGCCTTCTTTAATCTGTTGACAAACCCTCGAGAATGCTCAGAAATGTCTAGAAAACCAGTATGTTTTCTCCTGGGAACAAACTTCATAGCCTCTTCCCAATTACCTGTGTTTTTCAAACATAACAAAATACGCATCATTTGATCTAAGGTAAGATTTTTGTTACCAGTGCTCCACTGTAAATATCTATCTAATGGAAGGCATTCTGTTGTCAGGTTTAATCGTTTTGCTTTGGCTAGGGAGATACCTGGCTGCATATTCTTATCAACAAATGACCCAACAATATAAATTTTGTCATGCTTGTAAGTAGTCATAACATTGGGAGAATCTGCAGTTAAATATATGATATTGTTCTTTGGAAATAAATCTACATATGACTTTTCTGTTGCTGTTAAAAACAATTTGTCCCATTTTTTCCCATACCTTTTAACTAACTCTCTATGGTAAGCACTATCTGGTTTAAGGTTGCAGAAGTAAATATGAAAAGGGTCAACATCTCTTCTGTTGCATCCTTCACTTTCTAAAAGTTGGCGAATAGTATTATTCAGTTCCTCTGGTTTCATATAATTATCATAAGCCATATCAAAAACCAAAGGTTGTCCAAACTGCATAGCCTGGGCACCCTTCCAACCCATGGCAATTGTTTCCTTTATGTTCCAAAGTCGAAGAAATAGAACGTTTTGCTGTTCATCTTCCTCAGTGGTTTCTAACAGCTGGGCCTTTTTTGCTTCTTTCTTTGCTGCTTTCATTTCCTTTTTATTTTGCTTAGCTTTCTTCAGATTTTCTTTAATATACAAAAATTTTAAGTATTTTTGTTTTGATTTCTTAGAGGCACATTCCATGATGTTCTTGAGCTCTTCTTCAGTGATGTGTTCTGGTACATTTCTCCCAAGCAATCTCCACATCTCAATTAATCTTCTGGTAGCAGCAGGTGTATCTTCATCCTTGTTACTTGGGACTGTGAAAACAGCTTCTTCTTGCACACTAGATTTCATTGTAGTTTTCCACCCATCCAATTCTAGCTGTGCAGGAGGGGATGCATTATCCTTATCAGGATAAGATACAGCTGGTATTTTGGAAGACATATGTCTCTGCAGAATTGTTGAATATAAATCCCTTCTCTTCCTAGGAAGGGTAAATGGCACCAAACACCTGGCATGAGATCTTAAGAAAACAATGCTAACATTCATTTTGAAGAAAATAGACATGTTAAAAAACCTCTGTAAAAGAAGATAAATAAAATCAAGTTAGAAAGAGATTTTAACTTCCAAATATAAATTTGATACCAAAATGCAATTGATTTGTGAAACACAAAGCTTATAATCACTCCCTAGGCAAAAATTTTAAAACTTATTTGGATTATTTTAGACATTAATTTCATTATAGCTTTGGCCAAAAGGATCACTTGAAGATCCTTTTAGATTTGTGTTTGGGGGACCAGAGAATCAACATTGCTGGATAACAAAGTTATGTATGACTGATATAGCTGAGATCATGATGTTACGTCTCCTCCAGATTGGTTTGTTTTGTTTGTTGATACTGGGGATTGAACTCAAGACCTTGCACTTGCAAGGCAGGTGTGGCACCACTGAGCTAAATCCCTAGCTTCCTCCAGATACATACCCAAACTCAAGATCCCTCAAAAGAAAACAGAAGAAGACAAAGAACAGAAGAGTGATAGAAGATTGTAAATGGTAAAAAGCACTTAAAAGCTGCTGTAACAATGCCTTTGTGTTTTCAAATATAAATACAGTACACACAGACTGATTAAAAAGCAGCAACACTACTATACAGTGAGACTGTCCCAAAGGGGAAAAAAATTCAACAAACTCTTCTCCAGTTCAGACTTAAAAAAGATATGAAATCATCAAACAAAATATCCCAAACTAGGACATAGTGCTCCACAATTTTATCCTAAAGAAATGGATGCCCACAAGATGAAAATGCTTAACGATTTGAAACTACCATCAATTTCAAAGTGAAAAACAAAAATTAAAATTTTACAAAATACAACAAAAACACCCAAAAGTAAAATTTTTCCTTTCCCTTGGTTTTTTTTTACCCCTTTGGTATCTGGGATTGAACTCAGGACTTTGCACTTGCAAGGTGGTGCCACTGAGCTAAATCCCCAGCCCTTCCCTTGGTTTTATTTAATGACCTTGCAGGCTCCTCAGCTTCCTGCTTCTATGGCCTGTGGTCTGATGCTGGTATTCCCCACGCCTTTCTTTTAAAGGTAAATATGATGTCTTTATCTCTTTTTTCAATTTATTTCCTCATGAGATCTGATATATTTCTGTAGCTTTCATTACTAACACCTGAAAGATACCTCCAATGTAACAAATTGCTCCTTCCCAACCTGCTCCTCTTCCTGTGTTAAATTGGAGGGAAGGACACTGCTTGCTCCCAAACCAGCTGCTAGAACTATAAAAAGGGTCATTTTATTACTGCCCTGTCACAACTATACCTAATCCATTTGTTACAGTCACTCTACTTTCTGAACACTTTTTGACTCTATTCACCTCTTTTTAACCCGTTTCCTTTCTTTTAATTTTTTGTAGTGTTTGGGATCAAATTGAAGGCCTTGTGCACTCTAGGCAAATGTTCCACCACTGAGCTACATCTCCAACCCAAGCTATTCTTCACCTCATATTTTATTTTTTGCAGTACTGGAAATTGAATGCAGGGCCTTCACACCTAGCTACATCTCCAGCACCCTCCCTCCTTTAAAATAATTTATTTTGAGACAGGTTTCACTAAGTTGCTCAGGGTGGTCTCAGACTTTTGATCCTCCTGCTTCAGCCTCCTAGAATGCTGAGATTGTAGGCATGTGCCACCATGCCCAGCTTCAAGTCATAATTTATAGCAAGTATGCCTCCTATTGGTTCTCACAGCACCCTGTGCCTGTGATGGCAGTTGTAACACCTTATTGTAATCTTCTGGTACCTATTTACTCCACTAAATGATAAGGATACGCTCTTCCATAAGGAAAAAAAACTATGTCTATACTGTTACCATTGAAGTCAATATTTGGCCGTATTTGGCTTACAATAATCACTCAAATATTGTCTTAATAAATAGCCTAGATCAAGACTTCTTAGATTTTAAAAATGTTCAGAAATTTCTTTAAAGAAAAATTTACTTTAGACTCCCCACAACATTTGACCTGATGCCCTAACCTGATAAATACTGATTGCAAAAAGTCTTCCGAATTTTGTCTTTGTAAACAGTACACTTTCAGAAGGTCGGAGAAACGAGCGCCTACATTTTATTTTTGCTGTACTGGGTACCAAACCCAGGGGTGCTCTACGATTGAGTTACACCACAAGCCCTTTTATCTATTCGCTAAATTGCCCCTGATAGCCTCGATCCTCCTGCCTCAGCCTCCCTAGTACTGGGATTACAGGTATGAACAGCTAAATTTTATAAATGATCCAGAATATCATTTTGGGAAACACTGTTCTTGCTTCAAATCCTGCACTACTTATAGTGTATTCACTGAGTTCCGTCTTATCTGCGGCCTTCTTAGCTCACGTGCCATTATGTGCATCTTGGAATGTCAGCCGCATCCTCCCACCCAAACACGCTGGGAGAAGGAAACAAGCGCATACCAGGAGCGAAGCAACAGCAACTACCGCAGGCTCAAGGTGCAGGGACTCCAGGAGCTGACGATTTGCGTGAAACGCGGCTCAGAACAGCGCGCAGCAGCAAATCCGCGGCTCACTTCCCAGTTTTCACAGCGCGAGAGACCTCAAAGCAGGAAGTCCCTGAGGCGCTGGCGGAAGTACCGCCCTCTCCGTCTGGCGCTGCCTTCGGACGTCACGCAAGGCGCGGGAAACTTTTCCAGTTGAGAGCAAGAAAATCTTGTCTCAAAAAAAGAAAAAAAAAAGAAGTTTAAAAACCCTTCTCTTAACGTTCTTTCTTCTTAGACTCTATTTGTGTGTACTCATTAAAACAAAAAAATTTTTTGTTTTTATTTTTTGAGAGAGGGTCTTGCTATGTAGTCCAGGCTGGCCTTGAACTCACTATGTAGCCCAGGCTGAGCTGGAACTTGCAGCGATTCTCCTGCCTCAGCCTCCCGAGTCCTAGGATTACAGGCGTTCACCACTACACTCGGCAAAACAAAATTATCACAAGTCTTACAATTTTGCTTTAATGACTTGACAATAGGAATTTAACTTTTAACTATATTTACCAGTAACCTAGTACAGCGTTTGGAACATATTGACCACAGTTCTTTTGAAAAAATATGAAGTTTCACATTTGTTGGTAGCATTTGTCCAAAATCCAGTCTGCACGTGTTTTGTTTAGCCATCACAGTGTTTGCATATATTTTTAGTGTGTGTTCCCTCTCCTCTGACTAGAGATTCAACCAAGGAGTGCCAAGCTACATCCCCAGCACTTTCCCCCCCGCCTCAGCACTTTTTATCTTGAGAGAGGGTGTTTCTAAATTGCCCAGGCTGATCCAGAATTTAAAATCCACCCTCCTGCCTTCGTCTCCGAGTAGCCGGGCTTGCTAGCCGATACCTACCAGGTAACAATGGGCTAGTGATGTTCTTAAAATCCTGTGGCCATACATTGAGAGGTCAATCAAATCCATCCCCTCCTTTTTTTTTTTTGGCTAGATCTTGTGAGGTAGCTATGTTGTCAGGCTGGCCTTGAACTGGTCATCTTCTCACCACAGCCTCCGGAATAGCAAGGATTCTGCGCATGCACCAGTGGCGCAGCTGTAAATTAGTCTTTTCAACAAATCCCGCTGCAACAAATGTCTACATGTTGTAAGACCTAGGGCCTTACCAAACCCTCCGAGGAGCTGACTGCAGCGAAGAACACCCGGGAAGGAACACACCGGACAAGTTGGAAAGTAAAACAGACCTTAGTCTGGCCAGACGGCACTCCCAAAGCAAAGTAGCTTAGAGAGGTGACTAGCCCAGAGTCCGAGGCTCTTTTTATAGGGGGTTACAGGGGACGTTAACAGGCGAAATTTACAGAAGAGGAACAAAGGTTAGTGGTCAGCTGACACGTACTGATGGTCAGCAGATGTTTGTAGATTGTTCTATAGATAGCGGTGTTCGGAACATCAGTTTCGAATAAAGAGTTGAGTAATTTACTTTGGGACCTTATGGCTGCTACAGATCTTATCTAGTGTCCGGGAACTAACAAGCATCTTTATCTATTTACTCACATTCACAGTTGGGGCTAGGAGAGTTTTATGATTACAGAGTTACGCAGTCCCACAATGTAAAGATTAAAGTTGGGCCTTTACCGTATATAAAAATTGACTGAAAATTGATCGAAGACCTAAATGTAAGAGTACAGTTAACTACAGAACAAGGAAAAGTTTTATGGTAGCAGATTTGGCAATTTCATGGATGACACAAAAGCAAGGCAAAAAAAGAAAATAACAGGCAAATTGCACTTCATAACAATTAAGAACTTGTGCATAAAATGACAATATCAACACAAAAGTCTTAGAAAGGGAGAAAGTATTTGCAAATCACATATCAGTCAAGGAATTAATGTATAAATGTAGAAAGAACTACAAATCAACAAAAATCAACCCAATTCAAAGGTTGGCAGAGCTGTGCATGGTGACTCATGCCTATAATCCCAGCACTCGGGAGGCCGAGGCAGGAGGATAGTCATGAGTTCTAGGTCAGCTTGGGCTACATAGTGAGTTCAAGGGCAGCCTGAACTACATAATGAGACCCTGTCTCAAAACAAACCAATAAAAAAATAAGCGAAAGCTGTGTGTGTGTGTGTGTGTGTGTGTGTGTGTGTGTGTGTTTTACTGAGGAATGAATGTAGGATGTTTGTATTGCACCACATTCTATCCCTCCCCCTTTTGTTTTGAGACAAGATGTCCAGAAGTTGCACAGATTGAGCTCGACCTGATGACCCTCTTGTTTCAGCCTCCCAGCATGCTGGGATTACAGGCAGGCATGCACCACCACATCCAGCAGAAGAATCTGAATAAACATTTCTTTTATATATATATATATATATATATATATATAAATTTTTTTTAAGCAATTCTTCCTTTTTTTTTTAATAAACATTTCCAAAGAAGATACACTAATGGCCAATAAACACATAAAAGCTATTTATTGCTGATTGATTTAAGACGGCTCTCTGTGGTGCACATCCTCGTCCTGCCCCTGCAGCAAAGGAACTGTTCAAATAAGCCCTCATTTCCACACTGGTGATCCTATTTTTTTTTAAAAAAAGATATTCATTGTCATCATTATGGACATGCAAATTAAAACCACAACCCCTTCACATCTACTGGAGTGACTTTTTTGGGTTTTTTGTTTTGTTTTGTTTTGTGTTTTTGAGACAGGGTCTCACTTTGTAGTGCAGGCTGGCCTTGAACTCACTATGTAGCCCAGGCTGGCCTCAGACTCATGGGAATCCTCCTGCCTCAGTCTCCCAACTGCTGGGATTACAGGTGTGTGCCACCATGCCTGGCTTATTGGACTATTTAAAAAAAGAGCTGGTGGTGCAGCTCAGTGGTAGAGTGCTTCCCTAGCATGCGTGAGACCCTGAATTTGATCACCAGCACTACAAAAAACAAAAAACAAACTGGAAAAAATGTGTCTTGGCAAGAATGTGGAGAAATTTGAACCCTGTGCATTGCTGGTGGGAATGTAAAATGATGCAACTGTTATGAAAAACAGGCTAGTTGCTCCTCAAAAAGCCAGTTATAGAATTAACATATTATTTAGCAATTTTACTCATAGGTAATACCCAAAAGATTTGAAAGCAGGACCACAGATACCTGTACTCCATTGTCCATTGCAGCATTATTGATACTAACCAAAAGGAAGAAGCAACTCAAATCCTCATGAACAGATGGCAAGCAAAATATTGGGAAAGTATACAAGGATGTAGTCTTGATTTATGCTGAGATTCCACTCACCCCAGAAAGAATGGCTGTTATCAAGAAATCAACCAACAACAGTTGGAGGGGCTGTGTGAAAAAAGGAACCCTTCTGCATTGTTAGTGGGAGTGTAGACTGGTGCAACCACCATGGAAATCAGTGTGAAGATTCCTCAAAAACTAGGATTAGAGGCCTCATTTGACCCAGCTATTTCCCTTTGGGGTACACTCCCAAAAGAATTAAAAGCATCATACCACAGTGATATATGTGCACCCATATTTATAGTGGCACAGTTTGTAATAGCTAAATCTTGGAAACACCCCAAATGCCCATCAACTTCTGATAGGATAAAGAAGATGTGTTTTTTTAATGGACTACTATTCAGCCATAAAAAAAGATAAACTAGAGACATTCATAGCTAAATGGATGTACCTTAAGGCCATATTCTTAAATGAAATAAATAGGACAGACGTGTAAATAGCGAATTGTCTCTCTGGTATAAGAAAGTGAAAGTGTAAATGAGAACCAAAATAAATAATGGATATTGTAAAATAGGAATAAAAGGTTCAAAGGGGAAGGGGAACTAGGAAAAAGGGGTAGGGGAAAGGAAAGGAGGGAAAAAAATGAAAAAAGAAGGAAAAAATGGAAGCAAAGCTTATGAAAATGGGGGGGGGGTTAAATGGAGGCCAAGGGAATGGGAAAAAAATAAGAACCAAGATATATCATGTACAGGTACAAATTCCTAATGATAAATGTGATCATAATGTATACCTAAAATGTACCAATAAACTCAACAAATAAGAAACAAATTAAATACACCCTAAACCAGGTCTGGTGGTGCATATCTGTGATCCCAGCACTTGGGAGGCTGAGACAGGAGGATCACTACTAGTTCTTTCTTTTTTTTGAGACAGGGTCTCTCTTTGTAGCGCAGGTTGGCCTTGAACTCATTATGTAGCCCCCTCTGGCCTTGAACTCACAGTGATCCTCCTGCCTTAGCCTCCCAAGTGCTGGGATAACAGGCATCCACCACTATGCCCCGTGTGAATCAGAGCCCTGTTCATGATAGGCAAGCCCTTGACCACTGAGTTATATCTCCAATTTTCTTTGCCTGTCCCCTTTTTTGAAATTTTATTTTGAGATGGTGTCTTATTAAGTTGCTCGCTCTGGCCTTGAACTTATGACCCTCCTGTCTCAGGCCTCCTGAGTAGCTGGGATTACAGGTGTGGACCTCCATAGCAAGATTAAACAATTTAATGAAATCTGAGTAAGGGAAAGACATACAGAAGGCTCAATCTCAGGGTGTAGAGTCCAGGAAAATTTTTTTGTGATTATTATTTTTATTTTTGGAGAGACTTGATGATAGGACTCTTAGCAAATAAGCCTGACAAAGTATAATAGAATGGATAAACTTCCTGAGAATAAAAGAGTCATATTCAGAGGACAGGTGCTGAGATTAGTCTCCTACAGGGGGAGGAAATACTACTCCCATTTAACAGGAAGAAAAGAATTTTAAGTGGCATGGAATCCAATTTATAGATACAATGGCTATAATTTGAGAGAGTTCCCACTTTCTGTGGAAAAGTTCAACTGCTGAGGCTCTATAGATACTGAAGATGGAGTGAAAGTCTTTTATCATGATAAAAAATAACGGGTAACAAGTTCATAGGAACAGAATGGTGGTGTGAAAATAAAGGAAAACCACAATGCAAACAACATTGAGAGGCCTTTTCAAAATGGAGTCACTAGGCCATGAAGAAAGCAGAACTTACGTGTATTTCAAGGTGCTGCCTAAGACTGTGAACTTTGGTCACCTTTGACAATAGGGATCCTAGAGGACCAGATAATTACAGAGACTCAAATACATAGCAAAAAGCTATCAAACTCTT